ATAAATTATAATAGTGTAATTATACACTAATTTTTATTTTTAATAAAGAAAAAATTATATTAGTTTTAAATAAAGTAAAAAAATAATTTTTTTGACTAATTAGTAAATTTTATTTATTAAGCTAATATATTTTTTAAAATAAATTAATGTAAGGTTAAATGCTAAATTTGGTCCCTCAACTTTAAGAAATGCACATTTTTGATCCCTCAACAATTTTTGCACTTTTTGGATCCCTCAACTATAAAAAATGCACTCCGTTAGTCCTTCTGTTAATTTGAGCCATTAACTTCGCTTATGCGGCATTTTTTATATTTTTTTTGATGATGTGGAGAGCAAAATTTAGAAAAGTGATGATATGGATAAACATTTTGACATTTCATATTACCTTGTGCCAAATCCACTTAAATGGGTCCCACATCACTAATAAAGAAATTTGTCTTTAGATGACATGGCACTAAATCTACTCAAATGGGTCCCACATCACCAATAAAGAAAGATATCTTTTGATTACATGACAAATTAAGTGATATTTTTTATATTTTTTTAATAATATAACAAATTAAATTAAATATTTACCCAAATAAAAAGTAATATCAAATCAAATTTTATTAATTAATCATCATTAAACTATAATCATTTATATTAATCAAAATTAAGATTCTAAATTAATTTATAATTAAATCACAATTTTCTCATCAAATTTTCTTTCTTTAACGAACATTATAGTTTTTTGGTAACCAATCTCGACAACCAAACAAATTCATAGCATTTTCTCATCATCCAAACACCCAAACTATACCATTTTCCAGCCAAACAAATGGAAACCACTAAGGATTGCTTCTTTGCCCAACTACTTCTATTCTTTCCATTTTAAACATTGAAATCATTTAGACAATACTTAAAAAATATGAAGAAAATGATCCAAAAATCCCTCACAACCTACAACTTGGATAATGTCTTCACAAACAAACATATAACAAAAAAAAACAAAAAACAAAAAATTGGAGTTGGGTTCCACCGAACCCAGCTTAAACCCAGCAAACTGGGTTCATCGAACCTGAGCTGGGTTCCACCGAACCCAGCTCGAACCCAGCAAACTGGGTTCCACCAAACCCAGATCTACTGGGTTCGAGGAACCCAGTTTACTCATCGAACCCAGTTTGCTGGGTTCCACCGAACCCAACAGACACAGAGGAAGAAGAGGAAGAAAGAAAAAGAAAAAAAAGAAAGGAAGAAGATGATCGAAAGAGGGGAAGAAGATGGATCAAGAAATGGAGATGGGTAAATTTGTAATTTTTTATTTTTTTATTAAGGTAAAATCGGTTTATGAGTTGGTAATGCGTTGGCGATAATATGTCTTAAAAACAAATTCCACATCAACGCTTTTTTAAATTGTTTTTGCCATGTCATCAAAAAAATATAAAAAATGCCACATGTCATAGTTAACGGTCTAAATTAACAGAAGGACTAACGATGTGCATTTCTTAGAGTTGAGGGATTAAAAAAGTGCAAAAAATTATTGAGGGATCAAAAATGTGCATTTCTTAACGTTGAGGGACCAAATTTAGCATTTAACCTTAATGTAAAAAATTTATAATAATTACTTAATAGTATTAAAGATAAAAAATAAATTTAAAACTAATTAGATAAATACTAATTAAAAATCATGAAAAAATTTAAAAACTAAAGAGGATAAATTTATCAATAAAATTAAAAAATTTCAATTCACTAACGGTTTGGTACAAAAAACTATCTTAGATAATTTTGGATCCTAATCGCTATCCATCAGTTCGAAGTTGTTAAATAAAAAATTTCACTAAACACTTGATTTGTAGGGATTTTGAAATAAATAAATTTAATAAACATTTATTATTAACGATTTGGATAAAATTACTAACTGTGACTTCCAAACTATTATACCAAACGACCTCTTTATTTAATTAGTTTAAACTTTATTTTGTCTTTAATAATATTAAGAAATTATTAATTTATAAAAAAATATATTAGTTTAATAAATAAAATTTACTAATTAGACGAAAAGACTAAACTCTTTTTTTATTTTATTTAAAACTAATATAATTTTTTCTTTATTAAAAATAAAAATTAGTGTGAGATTACACTATTATAATTTATTATTATTTTTTTTTAAATTAATAATTTTAATAATAAAAAATATTAAAAAATCCAATTAATTGTTTTTAAATATGTTTTTATTAGTCATTTAATTTCAAACAATAATAACTAATTATTGTATAACTAAACAATTATATTAATTACATTTGTTATTTGCTATTCACTACCTATTTTTCACTATCTACCACCCACTATCTGCTAAACGCTATTTGCTATTGCTATTCGCTATTTGCTACCGACATTCACTTAATTTTAACCACTATACCAAATAGGCATTTAATTAGTTTTTTCAATTGATTAGCGATTTAAATAGTAACCATTACAATTAGTTTTTTCAATTTATTAGCGATTTAAATATAACCATTACCCATTATTCCCAAACTATTAAATAAAAAGTTTCACTAAAAACTTAGTTTATAAAAATTTCAAAATAAATAAATTTATCAAATGCTTATTGTTAATAGTTTACATAAAATCATAACAATCACCTTCAAAACGCCATACCAAGCGGCCTAAAATCAAGCTCCTAAAATCAAGTTGAAATTGAATTTAGTCGAAGCTAACTACCTAATTAATTACAATGCCAAGATATTTTTAGGATCATTTTCTTTTGGAAAGTTAAAAGGAACACATGGGATGCTGTAGCTGTATATAAGAGATCAGCTCCCAATACGGATTTCAGAAGTAGAATATTGAGCTCAGGATCTGAGATGCGAAGTCGTTGCCATTACGGACTTTGCTGCATGGGTTTTAGTACCTAATTTGAGAGAACCAGAGTCTATGATTTAGAAGACCACATAATCTCTAATTTTTCTTAACAATTGTCAAAGATTTTGCTGCATATCATCGCATTCCAAAGAAAAATATAGAATGAACCAAAATGCTACTGCTGTAATACTTATTAATACAGTTGCATTTTCCAATGTGCACTAAAGCTTTCACAATTTGACTTTGAGTACATTTCGAGAAAAAAGAAAGATTTACCATATGTTTCATTTAATTGTTTGGAAACAAATTAATAATGATTTTCTCTAATTTAACGAGTAAGTATGTTACTCTATGGCTCCGTTTGGTATGGTGGTTTTGGGTAGCGGATAGTGATTTTCCTTAAATCGTTAAATATTAGTATTTGATAAATTTATATATTTCAAAACCGTTATAAATATGGTGTTTGGTAAAATTTTTATTTAGTGATTTGAGACTAATAGATAACGGTTATGGTCCAAACCACTAACGGATTGAAAAAACTAGTTTATATAACTTTTTGTACCAAACCGCTAACGGATTAAAATTTTTTAATTTTATTGACAAATTCATCCACTTTAATTTTTTAATTTGTGGTCACATTTTTTAATTAATAATTATCTAATAAATTTCAATTTTATTTTTTTAC